GTTCCCATGTTTCTGCTGCCCTTGTCTTTCTAGATGGAAGTGGTCATGGGTTTGGAAGGTGTTATCTGAGGATCTTTGGTGAATTTCTGCAGTGCACCTTGTAGATGGTACACACTGCTGCTACTGAGTGTCGGTGGTGGAGGGAGTGGGATGTTTGTAGATGTGGTGCCAATCAAGCGGCTGCTTTGCCCTGGATGGTGTCAAGCTTCTTGAGTGTTGTTGGAGCTGTACTCATCCAGGCAAGTGGGGAGTACTCCATCACACTCCTGATTTGTGCCTTGTAGATAGTGGACAGGCTTTGGGGAGTCAGGAGGTGAGTTACTCGCTGCAGGATTCCCAGCTTCTGGCCTGTTCTTGTAGCCCCTGTGTTAATGTGGTGAGTCCAGCTCAGTTCTTGATCAGTGGTAACCCCCAGGATTTTGACAGCAGAAGATTCAGTTATGATGACATCATTGAATGTCAAGGATGATGGTTAAATTCTCCCTTGTTAGAGAGGTCATCGTCTGGCACTGGCCACTGTTCAGACCAAACCTGGATCTTGTCCAGGTCTTACTGGATTTGGACACAGAATGATGGATATTGCTTAGGATACTGGGAGAAATTGTACCTTCTTTGAAATAGAACCTTGGGATCTAATGGTTTAGTGTTTGATTTGTGATAGTGTCACGAATTCTGAGCCTGGAGGCCCAGATTCAAGACCCATCTGCTCTAGAGATGAGTAAGCATATCTGAATAGACTGATTAACAAAACTGTACTCGAGGAATACAAGCTGCCCTCACTATGTGACTGTTTCAGGTCCAGTGTCACAATGATTCCCGCTGAGGTTTGAGTCCAGGACTCCCAGATTCAACAAGTGGTTGGGGAAGGGGGATGGAGAGGTTTGCCACAGCTTGTATAAATCATGTGATCACCGAGTGTCCCTCACAGGGACAGGTCACTGGCTGGTGATCAGAAGCTGCAAGTCCAGCTCCTTGTTTTTCCGACATATTGGAATGTCAGGATTGTAACTCTGTCACTGATCAGCCATATTCAGTATCATTTGGAGCCGAGGTGTATTTTCTGGTCAGTGTAGCAGGGTAATCATGCAGACAACAAACAGTGACAGTCTGTTTTAGATAAGACTTTTCACACAGTACAATTGATCTTTTACAGTAAAATATGCTAAGGTGTTTCACAGGAAAATAATTTTTTCTTTAATCATTCATGGGATAAGGGCATTGCTGACATGCAGCATTTATTGCCCAGAGGGCAGTTAATAGTCAACCACATTGCTGTGGGTCTGGAGTCACATGTAGGCCAGACCAGGTAAGGATAGCAGTTTCCTTCCCAAAAGGACATTAGTGAACCAGATGCTAACAATCAACAATGGGTTCACAGTCATCATTAGAGTCTTAATTCCAGATATTTTATTGAATTCAAATTCCACCATCTGCTGTGGCAGGGTTCGAACCCAGGTCCCCAGAACATTATCTGGGTCAACAGTCCAGCGATAATACCACTAGACCATCGCCACCCCTGTCAGCAGTATAATGTTTACAGTGAGCTGCATGAGATTATAGTAGGTCAGGTGAACAACAGACTTGGGTTTGAAGGAATAATTTCAAGAGGAGATTGAGGGAGAGAGGCGGTGAAGTTTAATTTGGGTATTTCCAAACTGGGGACTCAGGCAGCATGTGGAAGAGACCAGAATAGAAGGAGTGCAGATATCATGGAAGATCATGGGGTTAGAGGGATTACAGAGATAGGGAGGGATGAGGTCGCTTAGGCCACCAAACATGAGGATGAGAATGTTAAGGATGCTGGACCAGGAGCCAAAGTAAGTCAGAGAGCACAGAGTGAAGTATACCCTAACCCTAACCCTACCCTAACACCAGCCCTAACCCTAACCCCGACCCTAACCCTAACACCAGCCCTAACCCTAACACCAGCCCCAACCCTAACCCTAACACCAGCCCTAACCGTAACCCCGACCCTAACCCTGAGCCTAACCCTAACCTAACACTAGCCCGAGCCCTAACCCGACCCTTACCCCGACCCTAACCCCGACCCTATCCTGGTAAATCTCCTCTGCACCCTTTCCAATGCCTCCACATCCTTCCTATAATGCAGTGACCAGAACTGTACGCAATACTCCAAGTGCGGCCGCACCAGAGTTTTGTACAGCTGCAACATAACCTCATGGCTCCGAAACTCAATCCCTCTACCAATAAAACCTAACACACCGTATGCCTTCTTAACAACGCTATCAACCTGGGTGGCAACTTTCAGTGATCTATGCACGTGGACACCGAGATCTCTCTGCTCATCCACACTACCAAGAATCTTACTATTAGCCCAGTACACTGTATTCCTGTTACTCCTTCCAAAGTGAATCACCTCACACTTTTCTGCATTAAACTCCATTTGCCACCTCTCAGCCCAGCTCTGCAGCTTATCTATGTCCCTCGGTAACCTACAACATCCTTCTGCACTATCCACAACTCCACCGACTTTGGTGTCATCCGCAAATTTACTAACCCATCCTTCTACGCCCTCATCCAGGTCATTTATAAAAATGACAAACAGCAGTGGCCCCAAAACAGATCCTTGAGGTACACCACTAGTAACTGAACTCCAGGATGAACATTTCCCATCAACCACCACCCTCTGTCTTCTTACAGCTAGCCAATTTCTGATCCAAACCGCTAAATCACCCTCAATCCCATGCCTCCGTATTTTCTGCAATAGCCTACCATGGGGAACCTTATCAAACGCTTTACTGAAATCCAAATACACCACATCAACCGCTTTACCCTCATCCACCTGTTTGGTCACCTTCTCGAAGAACTCAATAAGGTTTGTGAGGCACGACCTACTCTTCACAAAACCGTGTTGACTATCCCTAATCAAATTATTCCTTTCGAGATGATTATAAATCCTACCTCTTATAATCCTTTCCAACACTTTACCCACAACCGAAGTAAGGCTCACTGGTCTATAATTACCAGGGTTGTCTCTACTCCCCTTCTTGAACAAGGGGACAACATTTGCTCGTCTCCAGTCTTCTGGCACTATTCCTGAAGACAATGACGACATAAAGATCAAAGCCAAAGGCTCTGCAATCTCCTCTCTAGCTTCCCAGAGAATCCTAGGATAAATCCCATCCGGCCCAGGGGACTTATCTATTTTCACACCTTCCAGAATTGCTAACACCTCCTCCTTATGAACCTCAATCCCGTCTAGTCTAATAGACTGTATCTCAGTATTCTCCTCGACTACATTGTCTTTTTCCTGTGTGAATACTGACGAAAAATATTCATTCAGCACCTCTCGTATCTCTTCGGACTCCACGCACAACTTCCCACTACTGTCCTTGACCGGCCCTAATCTTACTCTAGTCATTCTTTTATTCCTGACATACCTATAGAAAGCTTTAGGGTTTTCCTTGATCCTACCTGCTAAAGATTTCTCATGTCCCCTCCTGGCTCTTCTTAGCTCTCTCTTTAGGTCCTTCCCGGCTAACTTGTAACTCTCAAGCGCCCTAACTGAGCCTTCACGCCTCATCTCGACATAAGCTTCCTTCTTCCTCTTGACAAGAGATTCAACTTCTTTAGTAAACCACGGTTCCCTCTCTCGACCACTTCTTCCCTGCCTGGCAGGTACATGCTTATCAAGGACACACAGTAGCTGTTCCTTGAACAAGCTCCACATTTCAATTGTGCCCAGCCCCTGCAGTTTCCTTCTCCATCCTATGCATTCTAAATCTTGCCTAATCGCCTCATAATTGCCTTTCCCCCAGCTATAACTCTTGCCCTGCGGTATATACCTTTCCCTTTCCTTCGCTAAAGTAAACGTAACGGAATTGTGGTCATTATCTCCAAAGTGCTCCCCTTAGAACTGTTTTAGCCAGAGAGGTCTGCATCAAGATGTAGTTTTCCCTCAGCCACTGTGTGAGTCAGTGGGGAGGGGAGTAAATGGGTAGCTGAGACTATGACCTAAGGCTGTCTCAGGGCTGGTTACATCAGTCGATGCTGTCCTTCCATCTGCTTCTCTTTCACAGGGAGCTCTGCCTGCCTTTGAGTTCAAGGTCGAAGGTCAGCAGCATTCCCCACATGGTCTGGGTGGACATGAGGAGCTGGTGCAGAGTGGGGAAGATCCCAGAGAATACAGTGATGATGATGTCACACCCACAGCCGAGGAACTGCCAGAGGTAATGATTCAACCACTCGAGCTGTCAATCAGAGAGTCTTCTTTCAATCCTGAACATCACTGCAGCATTTGTTTTCCATCCCCAATTGCTTTTGATTCAAATATCTTGCCAGGGCCATTTCAGAGGGCAATGAATAGTCAACCACACTGCTGTGGGACTGGAGTCACCTGTACTCTAGACTAGGTCATTTCCTCCCCTGAAGGACAGAAATAAATTAGGAGGGTTTTTAATGACAATTGATGCTAGTTTCATAGCCACTAACACCAGCATTAGCTGTGTATTACAGATTTATGAAATGAACTTAAAATTCCATCTTCCACAATGTAATTTGAACCTGTCAAACCCAGAGCAGGGACAGCTGGGGTTTAGGGTGAACCTCTGGATTACTAGTCCGGTACTGTTACCTGCACATCATTGCCTTCCTCAACCATCTCCCTCAGCCCATAATCATAGAAACATTAATCCATACAGTATAGATGGAGGCCATTCAGCCCATTGCATTTACACACCAGTCTCTAACAGGCAAGACTAACGTACCTCACACAGAAATATTATGAAACAAAATGTTTACAAATCTGAAAACTTTGAAACTGGGACCAGAACAGTGAGACAGTTTTTTGACCAGGTTAAACTCCCGATGGGCCAAAAGGCCTTTTCTCCTGCTGTAGACCTTTCAGACTCTGTAACTTCCTCCCGTGTCTCAGCTCTCTGCGTTGATGACTATCTCTCCCTAAGGCCTGGATTCTCTGAAATGCCTTTCAGTTGATTTGTATTTTCTGTCCCATCTCTGACAAAGTGATTTGTTTACTTGGAGTATTTTTGTCTGGAGACACATCTCACTGTAGGTGCTGGCATTACCCCAGGCAGGAACTGGGCTGTATATCGGGAGTGGGAGTCACGGTTTAGGATGGGAACATGTTTTACAGGAAGAATGGGAATTTGTGTTCAAGCTGGGAGGAGGCTTTAGGATAGGATGGGTGTTTAGGGTTAAGTGTGGGGTGGGGGTTTGGGGTTTAGGGATGGGTGGGGGTTTGGGGATTAGGAAGTGGTGGGGATTTAGGGTTTAGGGATGGGTGAGGATTTGGGGTTTGGGGTAGGGTGGAGATTTAGGGTTTAGCGTGGGGTGGGAATTTGAGGTTTAGGATGGGATGGAGATTTAGGGTTTAGGATGGGATGGGGATTTGGGGATTAGGTTCGGGTGGGATTTGGGGTTTAGGGTGGGGTGGGGATTTGGAGTTTAGGGTGGGGTGGGGATTTGGGGATTAGGGTGGGATGGGGATTTGGGGATGAGCGTGGGGTGGGGATTTGGGGGTTGGGGGGTGGTGGGGGTTTGGGGAATTAGGGTGGGGTGGGAATTTGGGGGTTAGGATGGCGTGGGGATTTGGGGTTTAGTGTGGGGTGGGAATTTGGGGTTTAGGGTGAGGTGGGGATTTGAGCTTTAGGATGGGATAGAGATTTGGGGATTAGGGTCAGGTGTAGATTTGGGGTTTAGGGTGGGGTGGGGATTTAGGGTTTAGGGTGCGGTGTGGGTTTAGGGTGGGGTTGGGATTTGAGGTTTAGGATGGGATGGAGATTTGGGGATTAGGGTGGGGTGGGGTTTGGGGATTAGGGTGGGGGGGGGTTTGGGGTTTAGGATGGGGTGGTGATGAGGTTTAGTGTGGGGTGGGAATTTGAGGTTTAGTGTGAGGTGGGAATTTGGGGATTAGGGTGTAGTGGGGTTTTGGGGATTAGGGTGGATGGGGTTTTGGGGATTAGGGTGTGATGGGGATTCGGGGATTAGGGTAGGGTGGGGATTTGGGGATTAGGGTGGAGTGGGGAGTTGGGGATTAGGGTGGATGATGTTTTGGGGCTTAGGGTGTGATGGGGATTCGGGGATTAGGGTGGGGTGGGGATTTGGGGATTAGGGTGGGGTGGGGAGTTGGGGATTAGGGTGGATGGGGTTTTGGGGATTAGGGTGTGATGGGGATTCGGGGATTAGGGTGGGGTGGGGATTTGGGGATTAGGGTGGGGTGGGGAGTTGGGGATTAGGGTGGATGGGGTTTTGGGGCTTAGGGTGTGATGGGGATTCGGGGATTAGGGTGGGGT